ACTTGCTTTTCAAACACACTGATTTCCAGGAAACAAGCTCCCATTCTGGAAACATGGCCTGGCTTTCTTTGCGTTGAAATGCAAACCTTTAAATTTGGCTATATAAAAATACATTTTGTTTGAGTAAGGCTTTTCTTATGGATGTCTCTGACCAGCTACCTACGTTTATTGAGAATTTCGGTGCTGGGAGCACCACACATGCAGTTGCTCTAATCTGCGCAGTCCTCTCCTTTCCTTGTACTGCTTTTTTGTACAGTGGGTTCGAACAACTCAGTGTTCAATTAAAATATTCTGGTGTTTGGCAGCACAAAGGTGAGGAAGGTATTCCTTGAAGAGAATTAGAAACAGCTAAAGTCCTGAAGGGAGTGTCTTCCAAGGAAAAACTGAAAGGACTACATCTGCACAATTTAAGCAATATTTCAGGAGAGATATCATAATAGTAAGGATTGCAAGGTCGTAAACATGAATGGGGGATAAGAATTTTATAGGAAGGTCCAAAGGATGTCAATTAGTATTTTAAAATTAAACAAGGGGAAATTAATTTAAGTAGCTGTATAATCATGCTCTGTGATAGATGTTGGAGTGGAAATTCTTTTAAATTAAAAGTGCTGGAAGGGGAAAGGATTAGTTTGATAAATTTTCTAGTTTGGGAGAAGAAGTTAGAAACTGTTGAATTGAAAACTACCTATTTTGTGGCTTGCCATGATTTAAACTTAGAAATGTTAGCTATTTCTAGTCTTCTAAAAAGTTTAAAAGAAACTGATATGTGTTATTCAAAATTATTGAGATTTTGTGCTTTTTTTAAACCTTAATTTGGAGTTAGAAAACTCTTTTCACATCTCAAAAAAATGCATTTACTTTTAATGATTTCATAATACTTATGCACCATTGTTCCTAGTGAATTGTATCTTATTTCCCTGGTATCTTTTTTGTATTCTTATCTGTTTTAATATGTGATTTGATATGCCTCACTCTGATCTCTTTTCAGCCCCCTTTGGTTTTCCCTGATCAGTGTTCTGTGTCATGTACGTTTTGCTTTCAGTTTTGATTCGTTAAAATGACATTTCTCATCTTCTGCTTCGCTGCACTGTTGAGGACTTGCCACTTCTTTTCCTCGCCCTCTCTGTTCTTACTCGTGGCAAATGAAATAATTAATCAAAGCAAAAATCCTGCTATAGGTACCTACAAACCCTGCATACAGAATTTGACTACTTCAGACGTCACTTGGAAAAGCGACGTTTTTGTGGCAACATGGGGACAACTGACTTTTTATAATGCTTAAGAGAAAATTGGGCATTTATGTCCTTGGGAAAAATATTTCGAGGCAAATTCTCAGCCAATGGAGTGGAGGGGTCTGCAGCACTTTTCTTTGGTGGAAGATGTGTTGCTTTGCATTTATGGAGTCTCTTGTCAATCAAACGAACATTAAGAGTACAGTCAAATTTGGCAAACTACACCTGCTTGAATGAAAAATGGAAGCAAGCTGTTCTGAGGACATTGCTTTAGATGCTGCTCTTCATAAGAAATGTCCTACAGTGGGTAAGTAAGTGCTCTGAGGAACGCTGTGGCAGACAGGTATACCACCCCTTTCACCTAGGTCAAAGCATATCTTCTTCTGAACAAGGTGTTATTGATTTGCTCTACTTTGTCTATTTTTCAACCAGGTTCAATCTCTTAAAACCTCAGTGACTATTAAATCTGTACTTGGGCCAAACAGGTTGTCTGGTGGCACAACAGAGTCCTCCTAAAGTCACAGTGCACCACAGTGAGTCTGGAGAGACCAAATGAAGAAAAGTGGGTAGTCAGTTTTAAGTGTCTCCAATGACATACTCCAAAAATCTTCTCCATGACAGGATTTTCTGAGTGATTTTCTCCCAGTGTGAAAACTGAAGGTAAGGAAAAAATTAAGACACCACCACAAAGAAAATTTAAATCTATTGTGAAAACACCTAGTATCTTTCTAGCCTTATGCCTCAGGTCTCTCTCTGTGGTTGTCTCAAGAAATCTAAACTGAAATTGCAAAAAAAAAAAAAAAAAAAAAAAAGGAGGAGATCCTTTATTATACTCTTTCAAAGTTCTTTTTGTTTGGAAAAATTAAACCAAACCACAGTTAAACCCATACATCTGAGAAAATTTAGGTCAATTATTTAAACTTTTTGATGTTCATAAAAAATTTTCAAACTTACTGTCAGTTTTTCTGATCAAGGAGAAATTAAAATTAACATGTTAAAGCCGAAGAACTTTTCTATCCATTTTGGTTGATTCAGCTGAAATTTGTTATGGAGTTACATATTGTTCTGTAACAGAATTCGTTACAGAAAAACGTAACAGAAAAAGGTTATAGGCTATTTTACAAGGAAAACCCAGTATTAATTGGCTGAAAAGACTGGTTTCAATCTACATATTAGTACACATAAACTGAGAAAAAGAGTCAAGTGAAGCATTGAAGCAGACTTTGAAACTACAGTAGTATGAAAGAATAGAATAGAACATGATATTAAATAATCAGATATATAATATCTAGCAGAAACTTAATTTTGTGTAATTGCCAAAATAGCACTTCAGTGTCAAGTAATGAACAAAATTATAAAAGGATCAGTCTGATACTGTGTTCCAGTTCATAAACGTCATGATTTATGGTTCTGTAGCTTACATATTTTCTCAGGTGAGAGAACAGTTAATTTTCACCTCTTACATGCAAATCCTTGTATTCATTGACCAGAGAAATGAATGTCTTGCCTTAAAGACTGTCTGCATTTTATATACCTGAATAAGTCAACAGTGAGGTTTTTTCACATCTGTTTTCTATCTTAGTGTGTTGAAGGGGAAATAACAGCTTTTCTGGATCTCCACGTCTACTTACTGCAGGTCAGATTCTGTCATAAGAAGCAATTGGCCTTTGGAAACTTTATTCTATGCCTTTTTTATGTACTTTGTGGAATTATTTATTTGTGGCATGACCTGCCACTCACACTCACTCTGAGCAAAGATGGGAGCATAAAAGCACAAGGCATTTTATAGCTTTTGTACTGAAATCAGCCTCACTTCAGAGCTACGTTGTGCCTTACCTGATATTATTAGCTACCGTTTTTCTCCATAGTGCTGCTACAGTTCTCGAAGGAACTGTAGAGACTTGATGCCAGATCTTCCAAACAGCACAGCAAGTACTTGCACACATCAATAATGGTCAGATTTTTATATTATCCATGAAGAATATGGAGAGCAGTGGGAATTGTTGATGCCAAATGCACTGAATCTGTGGCCTCATGATTTAAGATACTTATGTAGGAAATGAGCAGTTCTATAGTCCTGGTTCATAGTTACTTGCCAGGTGAGTGCTTTCAGAGAATCAGCAGAAAATATATATGTTCTTAATAGGTGTTGAATGGGAGGTCATTATTTTAGCTTTATAAGGAACTAGTTTAGACTTCCACAGTGATCTCACTGATTACTACCACATACTGCACTAAGTAAGGTCTTTCCTTGCACATGAGAGTACGGTAAGAGTCGTGTATTTCAAGTATAGGATATGTGTCCCACGGACATGACTTGAAAGAATTATTAAATATTTATTGCTGTATTCTGCCTCTTACCAAGCAGCAATACTGAAGCCAGGAAGGAAATCCACAGGATTTCCCTTTCTTTCTTTTTTTGTTTTTCTCCTCCTTTTGCTCTTGTCCTTTTGCTGCTGTCCAAGTTGTAATGGTAAAAAGGTGAGAAAAAGAGAACTCGATGGAGGAAATACAAAAAGTACAGGTAAAACTGTGGCTTCTCAGAGCCAGGGCTGAAATTCCCATAGGCTGCAGAAGGCCAGACTTTCTTTAAGCTTTAGAAATTCTCCTTGTTAGAAATACAAGCTACATATGAAAATAGGGCAACTGTGCAAGGTAACAATCCTAAAGACCTGAAAGATAGTGTCAAGTATGTGTGTAATGGAGGAGGAGTTTAAGTCACAAGTTTTCAGGTAGTTTTCAGTTTTCTTTTCAGTGTGCAGAGCCCTGCCTAGTGAATTCAAGCCTGTTGATAAACTTTGTTTTCCTTGTTTACTTTTCACAGGCTGATGAGAAGCTGTCCTTCCACATCCAGGGGCTGCGGACTGAGAACCGGTGCTCTGGAGCTGACAAAGAGAGACACTCTTTTAGAAAGCAATCTAAACCAGGAGCTTTGCTCATTAACTTGTGCTGGATTGATGCCACCCAGAGAAATCCCATGTTCTATTGTCCAGGGTATGTTTCAATGGAGGAAAAGAAAAAAACTCACCCCAAAATATCTCCACTGGTGTCTTTTATTAAGTAATGCAAAATACAGTATTAATTATGACACTGCATGCATTTTAGACAATATAAATGCAAGCCTACAGAAAATGTGACAAAGAAACCCTCAATTACTTTTGAGGTAGTATACAAGGAAAAATAGGAAAGCAGAAACACAGTGGATTAAAAGAACAAAATCTTAGTATCACTTTGTGCATACATTAGTCACTCATAAATACATTTGTATGAAATAACTTAAGATACAATTCCATTCTTGTTAAAAAATATACTTCTTCAAACTCACCGTTCTTGTTTGTTTTGTTTTCACATGACATTTTATGGTATTTTATCAGGTGGATTTATTTTTTATCACCGCCGTCATGATTTTACCCTTTTCCTCCAAGAGTTTAGGCACAGATGGCCTCATGCACAAAAATAAATAAGAAACCTGCTTGAAGGGAAAAGAATTCTGCTCAAATAGCTTAGGATAGTCTAATAAATACCATTTTGTTTATAAAAATATTTCAGGTTTATAAAAGAGGGGACGGGACTGTCTCCCACGTGGAAAGGATGTTAAGTGAAAAGTGCTGTTTAACATTTTTGAAGAGATTTTGTTTTAAACATATAGTACCATTATGAATATATATTTTATAATAATCCTGTTTCTTAGAACCTTATTGTTCACTAGAAGTATCAAATGCTGTTTGCTTCCTTTTGTTTTTGTCTTATTGCCGTTTTGGAAGATGCCTAGTTCAGAAGGGTTCCGTATAATTGTGCTTTTGTAAGGCTGTCCTTCCGACTCAAACCAGTACTCCCAGTCCGTTGAAACTGCTGCTGTTTGCTGTGAACACCTGAATGGCTTCCTTGCTCCATGGAAGACTGGTGGATTTCTGAAGCCTCCATTGAACTCTGATTGAGGGACTCTGCTGAGCTGTTGGGGCTCACGTCCACGTATTCTCTTTTCAGTACCGGGCTATTTTCGATGTTTTTGCTACTGCATAACTGGACGGTGATCCTTTCATTTTTTTGGTCTCTTGATTCTTTTGTTTTGTAAGTGGGCAATTTGTCCTGTTTACAGCTAGTGCTGATGTCAATATTCAGACCACTGTCTGTTCTCAGGAAGCAAGAATCCACAAGTCTGCTTTGGCAGATATCGTCTCCCTCTGAGCAGCTATCTGCTTTGTAACTAGCATAGATGGGGCTTGTTCGACTGTCTCCCTTCTTAATAGGGCTGTTGTAGTACTGCTCTGAAAAACTACAGGGCGACAGCCTGCCCGTGTTCCTGTAAGAGTACGCACCAATGTCCTCCACGCTCAATTGCCTCCATCGCCCAGGCAAGTCTTCTTCTGAAAGATGGGTGCTCCTGCACTCGTTCCTCATTTTCTGATTTGCTAAAGCCTGCTGTGGTGTTATGGCTGAGAAATGAAAAGGTTCATTTGCATAAGGAGGCAGAGTCCTAGTAAAAGTGGGTGAGTTCTCATTGTCATCGGCAAGCTCCATGTGCTGTGCAGGTTTGGACTTGGCAAACCTAGGACTTCCCTGATGCTCGTAACCTGCAGGTGACTTTCTTTCAAACAGTTCGTCTCGGTTGCTCATGTAGATTGCTTGCTGAGATGCTGTCAGGGTGTTGGCTTGGGCGTTCTCCTTCTCCTCGGATGTGACGCTGAAGCTGGAATAGGAGCTGGAGGTTGGCAGAGAGGTAATGTACTCTGGGAAGGCTTCGTGAGAGAAGCTGGAATGGAAACCATCTTCTTCGACAGTGCTGTCCGTGGAGTTCTGGGACCGCAGGAACCCCACGTCTTTCACTTGCGTGTCCACGCTCTGCCTCCTCTCCCTCCTCCTCTCCTCGGGGCAGTAAAGGGCGGTGTCACTGCAGTAGATGTCCGACTTGTACTGGGGCCTTTGTCCGAGTTTTCCGGCAGAGTCCTGAAAATTGAGATCCCTTGTAGATGGGCTGGACAAGTGTGAAGACAAGCTGTTGGGATCTGGTTTTTCCAGTACTTTGGCAATGACGCAAGTGGGTATGGTATCAGCGTAAGATGTGTGGCACAAGGGGACAGAAAGGCTGCACCCGTGTTTTTCCAGATGGATGCTGACTCGTTCCTGAAAGTCAGATGGCAGCTGTAACATAAAGAGATGGCAAAGAGGACAGGAGAAAAGGGTGCACATCAAAACTGGTGTCTGCTTGGGCTTATACCACATTGATAGATGGGTGCTGATTATGATATTACACATAGCTCACTGTATATGGTTCTGAAATATTTCAAGATAATTCAGGTTGGATAGGAATGGCATAAAGAATGTAGTAAACAATGATCTTAAAAAGGCAGGTAGAGAATTGCAGCCTGCAGCAACACCTTCCAGACTGCGTGCACATCTGTGATTTGCAGTTGGAGTGGGGGGGTGCGGAGGTCTCTGCTGGGGTGAGGAAAGAGGAAGAGATCAGATCTAGTCTGTTTTTCTTTTGCCTCTCTTTGAGCTTGTCTTGCCTCCAACCCAGTGCCAAATTGGCTCCTGCCCATCAGCGTCGCATTTGATAAACAATGCTGTTTGAAGAGGCAGGAAAGCTGGTTTCACTAACACTTAAAGCAATGGTACTGGCTGCTATGGCAGGAGTGGTCCTGTGCTGGGAAGAACCAAATCAAACCAGCTACCTTGCCCCAGCACTCAGACACTGCTTGTCAGATCAACCATCCATGCAAGCCTCAACATGCCCCCCTCTTCCAGCAGCCGCTACCTGACTGCTTTTCTAGTTTCTTGCTATACTGGCAGAAATAACAGCTAAGACCTGAATTTACATTATGATTCCTGTGACAGACTAGTCAGAATTAATCAATATGTCTGTTATGCATCAGAAGTCATGTCATTTTTGGAGAAGTCAGGATCAGCTCTGTTCCACCTGCCATTCTATTATGTGGACCAGAAGAGACTGAAAGCCCACGTTCCTTGGTGCGGCTCAAAAGCCTGGTAGGTAATGCCTATGCAGGTATCACCAAGCATGTTTGCCAGTCAGGTTTTATCTGCATGGCTCATTTCAGATCTCTATCAATGATCAGACAGGGATATGAGAGTGCTGCATGATGGTTGTCTTTCCATATTTCTTACTGGAAATCAAAAGAACGCACGTTAGAATTAAGTTTTGAGTTTGTGACTCTGATAGCTCCTTTGATATCCATCTTGATTTACACCACTTAAGAATTTAGCCTCTGAATGCTTGGCTGAATTCTGATTTACTCAGCACTTTCTTTTTATAACTAGAAGTCAAGTTCCTCTTTACCACATAATCCGTGGTCACCCATATAGCCCTAACGATCACATTCCCACCTTAATTTTGTTTCTCTAGAGGAAAGAACCCTACAAATGCTGAGGTGGTGTCCCCCCCTTCATTTTAGGCAAGAGGAATTTAAGGTGCCTGTGCCTTGTAGTTGTCTCACATCATATAAGATATGGAGATCCTCTTTTAGCTTCACTGGGAAGGTTTTAAAGTTGGTTTAATCCTCAAAACTTAATGTATACAAAATATGGCATGTTGTGAAATGGCATTCTTGTTAATGTGGAGTAGGATGGGTGTTTTTTCAACCAACAGTCCTTCCAGGATATTTTGGATTAATCATTATGTTATTAATTAGCTCATATGTCTTCCATTGGAAATAAAGAGTATGATATTGCCAATCTGCTGGCAGACAGCAATATTAGTCATAGTAAGTACAGATGCAACAATGATTGAATAAACAGGTTGTAAAATAGGGCTGCTGTAAATTGCCACAAGGCTGAGGAAATGAAATACAGTTAATTTAATGTGAAACTGCTGTATGGGGCAGCTATTATTTTAGTATCCTGTAACACCACTGGTTGATCTATTTTATATACATTATTTAGATTATGAAATGCGTTAAGAAAAAGAACGTTATTTTCTGGTCATTGCACTGGAAACTGGAATTACTAAAGTGATATTGCTGTCACATTACTATATTGTATTACAGTTTAGGCTTCTGGATTATATACAATATTTTGTCAAGCAATATTTGCATTTGTAAGGAATTTATTGGCTGTGACAGCACATTCCCACTTGCTAAATTAGTAAATACTTGGGCTTACGAGTGGAGACTTTGCCTATTTAATCGAGTGTATGACAGTCTGGGAAATTGTGGGGAGATCCCACATTTGTGATAGTTTTCTGCAAGTGAACCACTAAGTACTTTTAAGGTCCTAATTCTTGCTAACAGGTAGGGTGCTTTCAGGTGTAAGTAATGCCACAATTCCCGGGTATGAACTGCTAAGAGAAGTCAGTTACTAGGAAAAAATAACAGGACCAAGATAATGGTTAATTTGGAAGTTCTGTCTCCATTTCAGAAAATCATCGCCCATTTGACAGAAGAGTTTTGTCCTATCCTTATTTACCAGGGTTGTCGAGTGCTCTGAGGCCGTCTACTGGCTTAGAATTGGTTTCTATATTCCACATTCAATTTTGCATTATTCCGTTGCAGAATTGCACACGAGAGACCATTTGGGGGGGCATTAACCCGATGGGACTGATGAAGGGAAGGGTTTTCTCCGTGACCTTCACCAAAGCAATAGACATGTGGAAGGTGCTTTTGCTTTGTGTAGGGCCTGCATCGCTAAAGACAGTCTTGTTCACTCAGATAATATTTACCTCCCCTTTAAGGAGTCTGTTTCTCAAGCCTAGTTTCCTTGGAAGCAAGGATTATTAATTAAAGTTTACACCTTGGAAATCAATCATTCAGTGCTCTGGTTGCTTAGAAAAAGATATTTGTTCTGTCAGTCCATTTTAAAATTGAGGTTTAGAAATTAGCTGGACTGGAAAATAGCTTCAGGAGAAAAATTGATTATATCAGAATCTCTGATGCCTGCAGCTTGTCATTTCCCTGCTCTCACCCCCAGTTCCTCCCCAGCATTTTGCAGTCTAGAGTTCTCAGCACTTAGTTTTTGCTAAATCCTTTATTTTTCATGTGATCAGCGCAGGCCCATTCCGTTGGATAGCAGAGGTTTGGGGGAAGAGAGTACCTCCAAGTTTCATCACTGGCTGTGATTTTGTCAGCACCTCCCTCAGCTGCACGCAATTTCAGCAGGTGCACAAGCCCCCCTGTTGCTTAAATTGGGGGGCGGGGGGGAGGCGGGCAGGAATCAAAGCCTTAAGGGCAAACAAATTCTGGTATTGATACATGAAAAATAACCTGTTTTCCATAAAATATTTATTTCTTTGAATATTCACCAAGTTCGGTCACATTACCTCAGAAAGCTTATGTGCCCTGTCGTAATTCTTGCTGCACTGGAGCAACTGAGCAGCTAAATTGCAGTCCTTCCTATAGAGCTCCTAGAAAAACAAAAAATAGCCTGTTTTTTAAAGTTTGCAAATAGCCTGTGGCTTTCAGCCCTTCTCCCATGCCTGAGCAATCTTTTAAAAATTGACTTTGGGGAAATTTGGAGCATACTTTTAAAATACATTAAGATTCCTTGTTTCTTGCATGGTACTGAGATGTTTGCCCTTTTGCTCCGTGAGGGCTGGTAAAATAACTAAAAAGAAAATTTCAAGAACTGTTACTACAGAACAGTAATCTGCATTTCAAAAGACGGATACTTACCGTTATGAACTGGACTTTATACTGTTAGCATGCATGGCACTATGAAGGCTAAAATGAACACGGTCTTTTAAACAAAAAGAAAATTTAAGAACAGACAATTTTTACTGAGTATTATCCAGATCAGCACTGAGATACTACTTTAGAAAAATGCTTAAATAATCTTATGAGACTGTGGGAGAAATTCATTGCAGAAATGTACATTGTATTGTTTCTTAAAAAGAAGGCTTTTGTCTCCTTATAAACTTTCTTGCTGGTTCCTGGCTCTTTTCATATCTTGCAGAACGCAGCTATACAAATATATTAAATCTCACTGCAAATGTTTGATGATGCAGAACAGGATATTTTTACTGGGTAAGAAATTACCATGAGAATTCCACACAGGGAAAAAGAGAATTTAAACAAGTCGTTTATACTATTTTTATATTGAATGGCTCCCACAGCCTATTTAATGGGAAAATTCAGTACATAGATTTGCCCTTCATCTAAATTTAATTTAGCACACATGACTGTAACTGTATCCTTCAGCTAGTATCTTTGGGTCCCTGGAAGTAAGAGTTGTATGTTGCTTCTCCTGACGTAAGTGCCATTAAAAACAAAGTTGGCTTCAGAAGTTGGCTTTATAGGTGGGCATAGATGAGACAGGCAAAGCATAAAGGTACTGTGGACACTAGGCTGTGTTAACCGGTAAAAATTAGAAAACGTTTATGGAGAAAAGGTGTTGAATACTGAAATTATTTGAATTTTCTCTGGCACTAATGTTATAATTTTATTGCATGGAGATTTTCACTGTTCCACTTGTTCTTTCAGAAACTGATAAATTTTCTATGGAAAGGAAAGGTGGAAATTCCCTCTGTTTTGAAATATAATTTTAAAGGTATTCTGTAATAACAGGTGCAACAAGATGTTCCTAGGAGTCTGTGAGGCATGGGGGTAGTAAATGTAGTTTTCCTATGATCCTTAGTTCATTACATCTTCATATTCAAGGGCCTTCAGATACCTTTGGTTTGTGGGGTTTTTTTGTGTCTATGTTAGCTTTTATACATGCCACTTCTGCCTTAAATGTGCTGGGGAGAGACATTCATTTATATAGGTCTTAAATTTTATATTAGTACACACTATTTTTAATCCAGAAAACAGATGCAAACAGTAGGAATCCAAGAATTCAATTTAGAAGCAAAATCTGTTGCATGTGCATGTGATTCTGACATGTTACATGCACATTAAACACACAATATATTGCTGCACAAAGTATAGTACAGACAAGTAGTCCAAGTCCCATTAGTAATGCCCATGGCATTGCTAGGCACACAAAAATGAAATCACTCCAAAATCTAATCCTTTCTTCAAAAGCTATGTGCCTCTGTTTCTGTGAAGTGGTTGTCATGGAGAGTACAGAAAGCATTTCTGACACTTTATCTTTAGCAGCTTTAAAAATTACTACAGAAAAATTACATGTGAGTTAAATGTGCCACGTGTACTTTATTCTCAACATGCTGGGACATGCGATTCGACTGCAGTGACTTTCTGTCCCTTAATGTTTATCTGAATGGAAACTAGCCACGTCTGTGGCAACTAGAACAATAATTGGCAATTAATGCCAAAAGTGTTTCCCACAGTCTAAACCACGTTTTTGCATCAAAAGCATCATTTTACGTATCTGTCTGAAGAGTAAAGGGAAATATAATTGAAGGAAGAAATATTGGGAAGACAAAAACATGTTCTCCCCATGTAGGAGTCTTCAGTTTAACAGTGTCTCTAGTGATCAGGTATAATATTAATATAATATTAATGTTTCATAGTTCTTTATTTTAAAATTTGGAATTTAACCATTACTTTCATTAGTGAAGACACATAACTAAGGGCAGAATTCTGTCTGGGAATCGACCTCAAGTATGAAGAAGCGGTACTGTTATTTGAGGCTTCTGGACCATACTCTAACGTTCAGAGGAGTGCAGAATAATTCTTGGAAGCAGAGTACTTGGTACTGCAGTCCAGTCTAAGATACCTTTTAAAAACTATAAATATTGAAAACACTTCTTCAAATGTGGGCTCAAACCTGACTCCATAAGGTAGTGTAAATGCATGCATACTTATTGGGAGAGTTTTAGAATTTTTCCCCCTTCTACTGTTAAATGTGAAATAATTCCACTGATTGCAGCTGAATTAGTCTGGATGCATACCTGTGCTTCTAAAACCTAAATGTAGCCCATTGCAGTTACCATGTTCCGTTAGTTACAGCTCTTAGAATTATGAAGTAACTGTTGTTTCAACACAATTTCTATAAAAGTAAAGGGTCAGATTGTGAACTCTTTGTTTCCGTTGGAAAGCTGTTAATTGCATAGGCACAATTCACATCACCAGGCATATTAATGAGATTAATGCTCCCTGCTATGATTAAGAGTTCATATGAAATATGGGAAGATTGAATGTAAGATGCTGAAAAATAAGTGCTAACAGAAACATGTCTTCTGTAGATGAATTTTTTATTAAGTGTCTAAGGAATGGCACAATAATGAACTAAATGCCTGCAATCTTCCTTTCTTTGCTGTCTTTTTAGGTTTGTCCCTGGAAGGATTTCACGAGCTTGGTTGCCAGCTGCAGTACGCATGCCAGTTTTCAGCAGTGTTTAATGAGATGCGGGGTGACAATCACCGGAGATATTCCCTGTTTCATTCCACACAGAGATAGGTAACTTGTTACACATGAACCACAGCTGGGGAAAACCTGGCCCCTGCTCTTTGCAATCATCTGAGCGACCAGGTTGGGACAATCCTGCCTTCGGCTAGCAGACCTCACTTGTGCTGGGCATCCCATTTCAGTGAGCAAAGACTGAAAGATCAGAGGAACTGCAGGAAATGTAGGGCTCTATGCTGTGTCTAAAATCCTCATGATGAATCCTCACTCCATACCTGTGTCCTCTGAGCATGTGCTTCCACCATTTTGCTGTACTAGACTGAAACTGATGGCAAAATCAATGCGGGAATATTGCCATATCTTAGGATATTTTTCAATCAGTTTTAGGTTAGACATAAGGAAAAAAATATCCATGAAAAGTCTCACTCCAACCCCACAGCTTAAGGAGAGCTGAATTTACAAAGTGATGGGAATATCAAACATGAATTTTAACTGTGGAGGGGACTAGTTACATTTTATGTAAACATATACAAAATTATTCTATAATTCCATGGGAAGTGCATGGCGTAATTTATTTCTGAATATAATCTCAAGATGTATCCATAATTAAATACTTACATTGTCTTCTGACAACTTATCTATTGTCACCTTGGCCTCTATTAAGTGATTATTGAGTGCAATTATTTCATGGCTCAAAGCCCGTTTTTCCTCTTCATAATGTTGACCCTGTGTAGAGAATGGAGTAGTCAGTATTTTTTCTAATGTCAGAATATTTCAGAAAAAGGCCCAAAGGTTGATGTCATTCTCAAATCCAGGGAAAAGCACAACAGACCAATATTTCTTTCTTTTTTTTTTTTTTTCTTATTTTTTTATATTTTCAATCAACAGATGAGGCAATGTACTTTGCAAATATGGAGGTCAAATTGAGCTCACGTTAGGAACCTTCACAAAAGGCTCTAGCTAGCCTGTGCAAAAGCATTTGACTGAGCACCATCTATTCCTTCTTCATCACAAGGCAGGATTTCTAACCTGGATGGGACCTGAGCTGCTCTTGGCTTTCACTACAAGAATGTTTCTTTCACGCCATTAGCTCCCATTCTCTTCAGGGAGGAAGAACAACATTTAAAAAAGGAAAGTAGCTGTATTTGAGCCAATGTCTTTCTAGCTGTTGACTGTGCTGGCTGGTTTAAAAGCCCTGAATGAGGTTGTTAATTTCTCAAGATGAATGTTTGGCTGATTGCAGGGTTAACACTCATTAGCAGAATGTGACCCACTGCAGGATAACAGGAAAATATTCTGGTTCGAACTTCTTGCTGCCCACTAAATTAATCTTGTTACCAGTAGGCTGTAACTACTATGAATGTAAAGAAATCAGCAGTAAAAGTAAGGTGCCACTGACCCTTCCCATACTGTGTCCCACTTTCATACAGCACTGTTTATTGTGTCACCTCATATATAAAAAATTATTTTGTAGCAATCATTTATAACCCTGCCTCCAGCCTTACGTTAGCATTAAAAAGTATGGGAGCTTCTGAATGCTCTAGCTGAGATCAAGGCATCTTCCTTTTGCTCAGAGCAGTACAAGACCATGATAACAAGAAGGTTTGCCAATTTTCTGGAGGGATCTTTTAGAAAGCAATGTTGCAATAAGAACAGAAAGTAGGGTAAACTTTAATGTATACATGTTTTGTTTTGTGAACTCAGTCCAGTGACAAATTCACAATCTCACTTCCCATTCTAAAACCATTAGAGTAATTTGTGAAGGACTTTCTCCAGCAGGTTGATTGTATTACCTACTGAAATTTCCCAAATGCCATATTGCCAGGGTCACACAAAAATCTTCCATCAACACACAGTCAGCATTGTCAGTTAATTGACAGCAATGGGAGTTGTGTGTTTTGAAGTCCGAACGAATATCAAGGTTAATTATCCAGCTGCAAAGCACCAGGCTATGTTAAGGAAGGGTGATTAAATTGGAATAGCAACTCTCATCCTGAATTGCTATGTAAAGAAAAACACCTTCTCAAATGGTCTAAGCAAACCCACGACTTGCTTTAAACAGCGCAGATACGATTGAAGTCTCTGTGAAGGTCTGGCCTGGCCTGTTTTAATGTCAGCTTTTCTAGGGACCATCTGTTCCCTGCTGTTGCAAGACGTCCATCCCGACAGCCTAGCTGTGCCTGGAGCCTGGTTCAGGCTTGACACCTCTGCTGTCCTCCTTCCCACCAAGCATGTGCTCCTGCTAGCTGCCTGGGGACTATATCATGGAAAGCCAAAGCATAGCTTTGAGAGCTTGCAAGAGCTCCAACCGCACTGATTTTAACAAGACACATCATCTTAAAGGCTGTGTTTTCTAATTAGGCAGATTGACATGGTTTTATACAAGGCCCTTAACTCTCATTGATTTTATTGTGAACTGAACAGCTAGGCACTTTGTAAGCCTCCTGGACATCTGTGCACCTCTGGAAATCTGTCTCCTTTGAGAGTATGACTGAAGATTACACATTCAAAGGTATTTAGCTGTGTAATGAGGTAGACAAATGACAACCTATGTACCTGTGAAAAATGTGTCCCCTCAGTTTTCCAAGTTGTTTCATGCTGTGGAAGGATCCAGATCCACTGAATACAAACTTAATCTTCCAAATAACCATTTGTATTGAAGATGTTATCAAACCTTGTATGACAAATTGTCGTCAATGCCAGGGGAGCTGATTTGTAGGACTCCCTTTTGCTCTAAGACTCTCTGGTTTCAATAAGTGTTGCTCTTGCCTAACCAAATTGAACTGGACTCAATTTATTTTACAGTTCAGGAAAGATCATCTGGTCAAGGATCTATAGTCCCTAGCCCAGAGAGGAACTCATAAAAGGGCAGCAGATTCAGGCTGTGGAAACAGTACTTTCCATTGCATTGAGTAATGCTGAACCTGAATGAATTATGGTTTCATTTTATTTCAGTTATGATAACTTTTGGGCTGATGTTTTCCAGACTTTGTATTTGGCCAAGTGTGACTTTAAAAAATATTTTATTTTTGTTAAACTGTAAAATTCACCTCAGTCCAAAATTATGCTATACAGGTCAGCAGATAGACACCAAAGTCATAAACACCTCAGCAGTGCTGTGAAGGAGGAGGAATGAGAAAGAACGGCCAGTCCCAATCTTCTCCACCAGTATATGTTGGCATCTTTCTCTTGAAATCACTGTTGTTGACATGAGCAGAGTCTGTCCCACTGTAGCAAATCAAGGTAGCCTAAGGGTGGACAGGACCCTGAAAGACTTTGGCATATTGACCACATACTGTGTGATCATCTTTGAAAGTTCAGGGCTTCAGCCAGATGTTATTGTGGTCCAGTGGTGGCAACAGCAGGACAGAGACCTAATCCTGATACCACCTTGAGGAAAATGGTGCAGCTGGAAGAGATGGCATGGTAGTGCTGGATCACTGCATGAAAAGGATTGCTGCTTACTGAGGACTACAACTTTGAGCTCTCCAGTTGCAGTCAGTGAATCATATTTTCAACATCAGGTACAGATATCAGAGAGGGCTGAAAGGACAACAGGAATCATAATATCAGTGGTATGATGGTGAATTACAAATAGAAATGCTTCTTTTACTTATAACCACTTGTGGCAGATCCCTCTATGTCTGGTAGTTTTTAGATGCTTAGTCATCCTGCTCTTCCATAAGGCTGGTGACCTCTCCTCTCTCCTTTTGGCAATGTTTTCTGCTCTGCAGGTGCTAACAACCTGTCTCTCAAAACTCAATAGCAGATTAAGTTAATGGTGTTATTAATATGCCGATAGCTTGCAGCTGGTCTGAGAGCTCCTGAAGTCCACTCCAAAATGCCATAGCTATAGGCTGCAATGGGCTGAGCTTCTGGTGGATCCTTGTTCAGAAATCTTTGTTGAGTCAGCTCAGGGCATCCTGCCCTTGCCTCCTCCCCCAGCACAGAGCCAGCGTAAAAGAATGCAGCTCCGTAGTGTCTGACTGACTCAGGAGAACTGCAATCATGTGCCCACGTCTGAGTCAGATCAAATTCATACTGCTGGGTGACTCCAGCAGTGCACAGCGCTGATATTAATGTTGGGGGAACCAAGTGCTCGGAGCCCTTGCTCCTAGTCTGGATTTAGTACAAACCTCACTGCTTTCTTCTCAGCTTTGATGAAGGAACTGCTCTTCACAATGGGATCAAATGATATAATGAAAGATATCATCTCTGCCTGGAACCTTGTTTTTCTTATAATTTGTATCTCTCACAGTGACAACATCCTTCATAAAAATATAAGATGTGACTTTCAAAAGTGTTTGGTATCATCTAGTCCCTGCAGCTGTCATCGGTGGTATAAGTGGGGTGAAAAGAGTTTTGGTAGGTTGATACCAAAATAATTAATAGATAAGCGTATTTTAGAAAGTAACAAAAGCTGGACAAAAAGATCTGCTTTTCTTGTGCATTAGTGGATCCACGAAGGTTTCTACTCTAGTCCTTCAGCAGAAATGAAGTAGCCTAAAAGTTGTCTGTCTCTCTGGTAATGTCAGTCTCCTCTCAATGCTTTCCAGCAGCTGGAGAGTGTCCTACTGTAAACCAGTGTCAGCCTATTAGTCAAGGCTAGGCTGCTTACTGTCGTCTCTGCTGTCCTGCAGGAGTTTTGAGATGTGTACAGACCTTTTGAAATCAGTCTCAATTTTGCAAATGAGCAGTGCAGGTCTGTGGAAATGTCAGCCTTTTCAAACATGGCGATGGAAATCTGTCCTTGATGTTGCTGTAAGGACCATTTCAATGGATAGCATTTCAATGCTACCATGAGAACAATGTAATGGTAGTAGTGACCATCAAGGCAGGCCAGCAGCATTCTTTTGGAAATACCTCTCAATAAGTAATGCTTGAATGACAGACAGAAAGAGAGGGAGACTTGTTCTGCTACAAATACCAGCAAAATGACACTGATATCCCATCCTGAATGCCTGGACAGAGCTTTACTGGTTTTGGATGTGGAATACAGGCAGAACTTTGTTCCCTTTGTCCTTTACTGCTGTGCTTGTCCAGGAGGAAGACAACACTTGCACAGGAGAAATTCCCCACCTTTTTGGACCAGCGTAACACTGTTAAGTCAGTACTTTTCTCGCAGAGCACCAGCCATGATCTTTTCACTACAAATGTTAATAGGTGCTGTAAGGTATCTGCTAAGCAACTGCAATGTATGTATGGTTATTCTGTGGATTATAGTTGGCAAACAAATGCTTATGGGGGATATGCTTTCAAAACAAGGTCTGTGTATTTTAAGGTGATACTTTATAATCCCATTGAAATTATCCTATGAAGGATAAAACAGAGCAGTTGCAGACGACATAAAACTGTGAGGAGTGGCTGATACAGCAGAGGGTTGTGCTGCCGTGCAGAGGGACCTTGATAAGCTTGGGAAATGGGCTGACAGGAACCTCATGAAGTTCAACAAGGGGAAGTGCAAAGCCCTGCACCCAGGGAGGAACAGCCCCATGCACCAATAATGAAAGGTAACCAGGGCTACATTAGGAGGAGTGTTGCCAGCAAGTGGAGGGAGGTGATCTTTCCCCTCTACTCAGCACTGGTGAGGACACACCTGGAGCACTGTGTCCAGTTTGGGCTCCTCAGTACAAAATAGATATGGATATACTGGAGAGAGAGTCCAAGAAATGGCCAGGAAGACGTTTAAGGGATTGAGGCATCTCTCTTATAAGGAAAGGCTGAGA